TCCAGCACCTCAGTTTGGGAGCATTTTCCAAGGTCTCAGATCAAATCCTGGGTTTAATTCTGAGATTTTTGCATTTGGGATTCCAACAATTCCCTGAACTCCTGGTGGTCTCTGACAGCCTCAAATAGAAATGTTATTGTGAATATTATTATAAATATTATTATGAATATTATTATAAATATTATGATAAATATTATTATAAATATTATTGTTGATTTTTATCAGGAGGTGCTTATGAATATTATTATATATATAATATAATATAATATAATATAATATAATATAATATAATATAATATAATATAATATAATATAATATAATATAATATAATATATATCTGAATGCTCAGTTGGCAGATCTGCAGAGATTTATTTTATATATTATATATTATCTATTATATATTATATATCACATATTATATATCACATATCATACATTATACATTATATATTATATGTTATATATAATATGTTACATATCACATGTCATATATATTATATATTATACATTATATATGAGGTATATTATATATTATATATTATATATGATGTATATTATATGATATGATATATGATATATATTATATTTATTATATATTATATTATTTTTATTTTTATATTATATATTTTTATATTTTATTATATTTTTATATTTTATTTTATTTTATTTTATTTTATTTTATTTTATTTTATTTTATTTTGTCATTGACAGCAGGTGAGCTTTATGTGACGTGACATTTCATTCCACCTTGCATTGCTTTGAGGCAGGCAGAGGAATATTTGGTTTATTTTGGTTTATTTTGGTTTATTTTTCATTCTGTGACTCATCCCTTGCCCAAAGTAGGTCAGGGAATGTTGTCCCAAGTCTGTGCTTGTTCCTTGTTGGTGTTTTGGGGAGCCTGAGGAATTCCTGCAGTTTTACCCCTTTTTTACCCCTTTTTTTGGGCTGATTTGGGGATTCTGAGGTCAGCAGAGATGAATTTCCCCTTCAGATTCAAACCTGCAGGGGCCAGGGGTGAGCATGAGAGAATTGGCAGAATTTGTTCATTTATTTCACACCCCAAACTTGTAAGGGAAGGATTTGAGGTTTATTTTGGATAATGTTGGTGTAATAGGTCATGGTGGGAAATGGGAACCAGTGGAAAATAATATTTCTAATAGGAAGATAAATGGGCAGATGCAAATATAGAAATATTATATCAATAGAAAGAATTAAAATATTACTATATAAATATTTTTATATAATATTTGTAGCTAATATTTATACATTATATTATATAATATTTATAATATATATAATATCTATAAGATATGTAATATATACAATATATATTATATAATATTTATACAAATATTATATTATATTATATTATATTATATTATATTATATTATATTATATTATATATTAGAATATGGATACTATATAATAATAATTATATAAATGGGCAGATGTAAGTATGGAGATATTATATAAATAGGAGGAATCAAAATATAATATAAATCTTATATCTTACTATTTATATAATTAATAGTCATGTTTAAAATTTAGATAAATATATTATAGTATTAGAATATAAATATTCTAATAAGAATGTAAATATAGATGTAAATATAGAAATATTATATCAATAGAAAGAATTAAATTATCATAATATAAATAATATTTATATATTTGTAGCTAATGTTTATACAAATATTATATTCCACTATTAGAACATGGATACTAAATAATAAAAATATTATAAATGGTCAGATGTAAGTATAGAAATATTATATAAATAGGAGGAATCAAAATATAATATAAATCTTATAATCCTTGGATAAACATTTTTATATTTACTACATAGATTTTTATATATTATAAACAATTTTTAATCCAACTCCTGCTTTCCTTACAACCAAATTTAAAATTCATTCTCCTATTTTAAGATTAATTCTATTTATGGTATTTCTATAGAAGCTGGAGTTATGTTTGGAATTTTTTTTTTAACTTGGAAAATGAATCAGTGGAAAAAAGGATCACAGGTTCTTTTTCTCCCATTGTATTCAGAGCCACTGTTGTTTAAACAAGAATTAAATAATTATATTATTTCATTATTATATTATTTTATTATTATGATATTTTATTAGATTATTATATTACTATATATTAGCAAGAATTATGGATTCTATTATTAGCTATTTCCTAATTGAAGATAATCTTAGAAAATAATGCTGCCTTTTCCTGGAACTCTAGTGATGGAAATAAAAATATTTCCTGGATTTGATGGAGTTTTTATCATTATTTTTAACAGATTTCTAGTGCCAGGAACTGAGGAAATCCAAATATTCCTCTGTGCTTGTGGTTTAATTTTAGGACACAGGTGCAAAAAATAGCAATTTTTCCTTTTGTAGAGAATTCTGTATTTTTATAGCCCAATTTCAGAGAAATTCTGAGCAGAGAAAAAGGTGTGGGATGGGATTTGGAGTTTATTCACCTCTGGCAGCCAAAGTTGTAATTCCAGCATTTCTGGGTCCTGATTCTTTGTTCTTTTTCCTTTTGTGGAAGCTCAGGATATTTCAAAATATATATATATATATATATATATATATATAAAATATATATAATATATATAATATATATAATATATATAATATATATAAATACACAACTTATAGTGCATTATTTTATATATATATATATATATATATATATATATATATATATAACTTATAGTGCATTGTAATTAGGAAGTAATTAGCTTCTGATTGTGAATTATAACATCTGTATTGTCTCACCCTTCACATGAGACAGAAAATGGAATAAAGGTTTTTAAAACCCTCTCAGCTGCCCCATCTGTGGGTCAGGAAAGGGCACTGCCCAACACCAGTGCCAGGGCAAGCAAGAAAAAGTTACAGCAATGAAAATTCTGCTCAGTTTTGCAATGTCCCAGTGTCACCAAGCCGGTCCCCAATCAGAGCAGGTGACATTTGCCAGTGTCACCAAATCAGAGCAGGTGACATTTGCCAGTGTCACCAA